TAATGTTATTCGCGATAGTTTCTGTCCTAGAATATTTATTGACTTCTTCAAACACAATTATAATAATAGTATTTAAAACATTTCCACTGAATCATCATCAACACTCTTTCTTTATTATCCTCATTACTGCTTTCCAAATCGATTTTGAAGGATTCCCATACAGATTTCTATGAATCCTATCCTGAAATATTCCCATATTCGTACACCAGAGATGTAATGATATAGTTTTTGTTCTGAATATTTTTAAATTGTATTCATCTAAGTCTTTTTGAATTTGTTTCAATTCATACATTGAGTGTCATCTTTTGATCATATTGGGTGGGGCAGCCTCCCAGAGTCCCCCCTTTTGACATCATGGGTCCCCAAAAGAGCTGGCGGCTCCCACTCACCTGAAGGGAAAACAGATTAATTTTCTGAAAAGTTGTGTTCTCTAAATTGAATACTGGATAATGGACAAAGTTAAAAAAAAAACAATAATACTGAATGGTAAGAAATATGCATATTTCTTGTTCACCATCCTCACTTTCAGACTGGTAAAATTGTGTATTAAGTTTCGACTTCAGATTCCTAAGCCAATTCATGCTGAATGGTAATCTTTATTAGTTCACATATTAGTTCACCTTGGCTTTTACATTGCTGTTCATTTTGGATCTCCCACTCTCAGACCTTAACATTGAAATCGTTCTTGCTTCGCCAGCCCATTCCTCATACCACAGACATTCAGGATTCTGTCCTCCTCACATGTTGGGGGAAGACCACGCAGAAATTTGTTTAGTCTATGTGCTGGGCTGGTTAGAAGCTGCGAGCCTGTCCACAGCTTCAAAAGAATATTAAAAATGCCTTCCTGTTGTACTCCATAACAGTGGAATACACATGACCATCACACAATTATAACAATAAACCCACCACCACTTCCATATATGCAACATTATAATCTATGTTAATAATCTTGTGTGAAGCAAGTACAGTGATTTGCACAAAATGTGTTTTAAGTTATATGTATAGAGTGAATAATATTCTGTGAGTGCTTATTTGCTGTGTCAGAAAACGGTGTAGTTTTGGTATTTAGGCTTTGAATATTACACGTGTGAGTAGGTTATTATAAGAATGATATCGTTTTTTTTTTGTTTTTTTTCCTTTTGCATTAGTATAAGTTCTTGTATGAAGAGGGTGCAAAGTGAATTTCTAGTTCCCATTATATCTTAGTTGTGTGTGGCAGGGAGTGGTTGGTATAATGTACGTTGTTTTGGTCACAATAATGTCGATTGTAAAGTGAAGTTTAATTCTCTAATGTGACGTTATATTTTTATGTGTAATGTGTACAGTGATGTGTAGTGAGGATTTGTTGTATTTTCAGGGATGTTAAGAATTCCATTCACCCACACTGGATTCTAAAGTATCCCGTTTTATGTTCATATCTTGTTTGCAAGAAAATTCTTGATTATAACAAGGTGCTATGCAAAGTAAAACACATGTTGATATTAGTGTTATGCTGGCAGTCCTGTTCAGTGATGGTGTAAAATGTGCACAGTTGTGTGTAGAGTATGTGTTATAGCATGAAGAATGATGGCAAGTGTTTTGTAAGTTAGATGTGTATTTCGGTGTGACAGACAAAGGATTTCATTCTTGCCATCTAATCTTCCAGGCTTACATGTGCCAGCAGGTAGTATACAGCATCAGGTAATTACTTTCTTTCCATCCATTATACTGCTTACAGAATCACATTGTTTACAGGAATGCAACAAGTTGTTACAGGATGGTAAACCCGCCTTTCTTCATCCTCCTCCTCCATAGAATGGGTGGCTGATTGACATCACTGCTGCCCAGCATGTGTGGAGGGCACTGAAAGAGGCGGGTTTTCAGTACCTTCACACCCAAAACCATGAATCAGGACCCCCTGGAGAACACATTTGGAGCTATTCGTTCAAATAATAACCCAACTGTGGGACAGTTTGTAGATGACCTGAAGAATAGCATCATCAGTGTGCAGAGACTGGCAGAAACTAATTGTGAGGATAATGGTCCTACTCTTCTGGATAACCTACAATCACTTTTCAGAGCACCTGACACTGCTTCACAAAATCCTTCCACAAGTCATGACAAGGAAACCCCTGCTGGTGTGCCTGAGAGTTTCCATGTTTCTCAGCAAGTACAGATGGACATGAGTCCTGCAGTACCTGCTGGTGACATACAAGTGTTTTCAGTAACTTACGTCAGTTGTTCCATTGCCAGACGGGTGCTTCACAGTGTCAGTTGTGATGCGTGCAAGACATGCCTGACATCTGAAGTGCTGCTATCAGCCAATGTCTTCATATATTTCAAGGAGTGCAGTGATACAGAACAGTCTCTCACATATCCTTCTGAGAAGCTTGTGGAGACGTTGGTACTGCTGTAACTCTGATGGAGTCTATAATGACAGAGGCTGCCCACTTGAATTCAGTGGAGCAGCATATAACAGCTGCCATCAAGAGCGCCATTGACTTCGAGTGGATTAGGTGTTCTGACTGTTCACTTCACCACCAACGAATAGTAGAGATTAGTATTGTGAGATGTCTCACACGAATTTACATTCCTTGGTGGTGTAAGCGAAGAAACAGGTTGATGACTGAAGCAGCCAGGCAGAGGGCTACAGAGAGGAAGATGAAGATACTATCTCATTGGTAAGTCATTAGGAGAGTAATGCTTCTTCATTTTTCCCTTATAATGGCCTGCCCATACCAGCCTTGGAAATTGACAGAGCAGTTATGAAATTACTGGAAGAATATGTGTGCCAACTAGTCACATGAGCATCATTAAATGTTTCATTAGTTGGAGAAAGTATCCCTGGTGACAAGCAGTTGCAGTGCAGCAACAGAAACTACTGTGCAGCGAATGATAACATCGTCATCCACAGTTCAGTTACACAAAGAAACCTACTTTGAACTTGAGCTCCATCTCTTTCCCGCTTTGCAAACATGTTGCATTGAATGAAAACATGGTCAACCACAGTTCGATTACATACATGAAACTTCTTTTGAACTTGAGCTCCATCTCTTCAACCTCTTTGCCAACATGTCTCCTTCGTCTCAGAATATTAGAACTTCACTGGGTCAGAGTTCATTCTGGCCTTTGTCTTCAAGAAATTATATTTCAATCGAGTGCATGGGAAATTGTTTTCTGACACACATGGGTCTTTTTTATGTGTAGGTAAGAATGAAGAGGCATTACTTTATGATTGACTTGCAAAGTTCAGGTTATCCACCTCTGTGTGAAATCCTGAGAAGCAGAATCAGTATCAGGCTTGAATGTGAGTAGGACTGTCATAGGTGTATTCCTTCTCTTGCTTTTACCATATAATGCCACCTGTACTGGACTGGTGAACATGAACATAAGATTTTCAATAGTAATTGCATTTCTTTAACATATATTATTAATTTTTCCTATATAAAATCGTATCCAATACTGAAGTGGAAGTTGAAGAGATACAAGAGTGTCAGTATTCATTAAATTTTTGTTGTAAGATATGTTACTTTTGCCATATAATCCTTTCCGTTACTGAACCGGTATATGAATCGATACCAGATTTTCAGTATTCATTACATTTTTTTGTAAGATATGTTACTTTTGCCATATAAACCTTTCCATTACTGAACCGATATATGAATAGATACGAAATTTTCAGTATTCAGTATTACATTTTTTGTAAGATATGTTACTTTTGCCATATAATCCTTTCCATTACTGAACTTGAATATGAACAGATACCAGATTTTCAGTATTCGTTATATTTCTTTAAGATATTTATTATTTCTGCCATATTGTTCTGCCAAGTACTGACTTGGTGAAGATGAATATATCAGATTTTCTTATATCATTAAATGCAGTCTTAATCTTGTTGACGAGTGTAGTTCACATTCTCGAATTCCATCATTCTAATAAAAATAATAATAAATTGGAACATGAATATTGTTTCTTACAATATATGATTTATAATACTTAAATGTAACCCAAAAACTGTGTTCTGTATGACTTTCAAGTGTAAGTTATGAGGAAATTATGAGGGTTAATATATATATATCTCTGGTGGAAACAGAATTTTTTTTTTTTCAAGTTTCCCCACCTTCGCCTTTCCTAAATACAAGTATTCCATGTATATCACAGTTCACAATGTTCAGTGCCTTTGGTTAAAGAGGTGTTTCATGTAAAAGAAAGGCTATGACTTTCCAGGCATTACCGACAAACTTTCACCAGATATATATTTTGCAACCTAATCTCTTTTACTACAGAGCTGCAGAGGCTCATATTCTGCTGTTTTTTTTTTNTTTTTTTTTTGGAAAGGGGTGGAGGCCCAAGTTTAATAGAACTTCACTCAAATCCAGTCGAAAGGATATGGGTGAAGTGATATTAAACTTACTTATGCAGCTGAGCCCTTCTTGAGAAGCTGCCAGTTGTGCAGCCACTCAAGAATTTTCCAGCCGTTTTTAGAACCTGAAGGTTCATTTCTGTGTTCACAAGAGCCCTCCACTGGTCCATATCCTGAGCCAGATCAATCCAATCTATACCATACCATCCTATCAAACTAGGATAAATTTTAATATTGTCCACCCACCTACACCTTGGTCTTCACAGTAGTCTCTTTCCTCCTGGCTTTCCCACCAATATCCTATATGCATTCCTCGCCTCCCCCATTCGTGCTACATGCCCTGCCAACCTCATCCTCGACTAGGAGGCGAGGAATGCATATAGGATATTGGTGGGAAAGCCTGAAAGAAAGAGACTCTACAATGCAAGAGAGCTGGTTGTAAAAGTATTTATTGCAAGAAGCGAAAAAAGAATTGAAAGGGGGTGAGGGGAACACTCAAAATAGTTGCCAAGGTAGCATACTTTTTTACCGATTGTGCTCTCGGCCCTAGAGGCCATTTAAAATTTAGTTCTCTAAGCTGAAAGTAGATGGCAGCAGAATTGCATGGTGGCCATGTTGACAGCCAATAACATCGGAGTTTCACGGGGCTGGTTGCGTTCGTTGCGATGGTAGGCAGTAGATGCCAACTTATGGCAAGGGAAGTGAGGAGGTTGTTTGGATTTGTTAAGTTCTGGTTATATTTTAGAAGTGTATTTTCGTCCATATCTTAGTTAAATGCTATGGTAAGTAAGTTTAGGTATGAGCGCTCAGCGCGTGTAATAAATAATGTAATTTTTTTTTTATCTAAGGGTACTTTGCTTCTTTAAGGCTGCAAACAGTGGACAAGGCCCTCCTAATGGGACTATGCCGGGTCCATTCGGCCCACCTGGAATAAGTGGTACCCCTCCTGGGCCAGGTTACACCCCTGTCAATGTTCCACCACCTATGATACCGCCGAGAGGTCCAGGATTTATACCTCCTCCAGTAATGCCAGTTGGGGGTGCTCCAGGAGATATACGGTTGCCGCCGCCAATCATACCGCCGTTTAGTGTCCCTCCACCGGGTTTTGGATTTGGAGGACCCCCTGCACCACCTACTAACCACAATGGTATTGTAATTTCTCATTTATAGTTTATTTTAATTTAATTCACTATATTTATGTCCATTTGTGACAAGTTTTTGCTTATTATGTACCCTTGGTTGCTAAAGTGCTACCTTTATTCTGCACAGTTATTTGAACACAAGAAGTAACCTTGGTAATTGGATGAATGAGTAAGAAATGTTGTATGTCCTACTAGAGCGTGTTGATGTACTTTTAATTTGTGCCAAAATTGTAGTTTGGACATAATATTTGTGTTTTAACCTGTCAATATATGTATGTAGATGCAGAGCTCAGAGAAAGACTTTAGAATTGGTGTCCCTTGTGATGAGGTTATTGTGTATGTTAATTCACATTTTCAATGGTAGATTTTGGATAATGCTTCAGAATTTTGAGGTATAGCGTCTTAGGATCATAGTTATGTGGGATGTGACGCATATGTAGTTTGATACGTAGATACCTATCAGCTCATGTTCTTAACATTTATTGCCAATAAAAAACCTTTCATTGTAGTATTATAATTAATGTAAGTAAATGTAAGCTAGCCGATCACAGTAACTGTGGGGTCTAAGGCATGCAATGCCTTTGCTCGCTCAGACGTTGGGATCATGGGTTCAGATCACATTCGAGGTGTGCATGTTTGTGCGTACATGTATTCTGTGTTTGTATTGTCCTGTGTGTAGGCAGAGGCCTTGCGATGGGCTGATCACTCGTCCAAGGAGTCTTACTCTCTGTATAAAAATGCTTACGAAACTGAAGAGGAGGCTAGGGCCCAACAAAGGGCTGTAGTGCCATAAAAGCTTGATTCCCAGATTTTGTCAGACTGTGAGTACCCTTTTCACTTCTCACAATGCACCACAGTTCATAACACAGTAAAACTTCGATTTTACATTCCCAGGTTCTTTTTGTGAATTTATGTTTCTACAAATGTGTGTTTTCCCTGAATTTGCACTTCATTCTTCTAGTTCAGACTATGAAAATGTAACTCATTTTAAGTTTTGTAGTTCAATTCTGAGAGTTTTATATTTAAGGCAACAGACTTCCTTCTTAGCGGCCACGTATGATTCCGTCTAAACACGCATGCTGTCAGTTGGCTGATGTATAGCTGCAAGTGATTTGCGTGCACCATGTGAGTTTATTGAGGTCAAGCATGCATGAGGTGATTTTTCCATTACGGTGATCTAAACAGCTCTGGTGGACTAGGCCAACTTTGACACTGATGTATCTAACTGTAACTGTAACTGTAGTTTGTTGGTCCCATGCTTGATAACACAGGTCTGCAAAAATATTTTTTTTTTCAGCTGCATGGAATATTTTTGGTAAACTTTATGTTTTCTAGGATGCTGAATCCAAAAATGACCTCAATTTCCCCCTATCACGTACGGTTTTTTTTGGAAAATAATAGGGATTTACAATAAAAAGTCATAACAGTGATGAAAAAAATCACTAATTTTATTACATTGAACTAAACATATTATTTCTCATAATTAAACAAACAGTTCCTTCACGATATATTTAACATTCTGTGTTCAGTCTTTTTGCCCGTGAAACCTTTTCTTCTTCTCTTTGATGCTTCTCCGAACACGCTTTCGCTTTCCATTTTCCGTTTCCTGCTTGATCATCCAGCAGTAGTCGGCTAGCATATTCGCATTCCATCTTCCTCGGTACCGTCTTTCGATA